ACCCTGGCATTTACTCAGTTTTTAAAGAATCTATGATGATGTTCATATAAATTAGGTTTTGTAACTGTAAAACATCCCTCATCTAAGGTTCACTCTTGTGAAATATACAGTAATCACTGTACCTTTCAATATGCAAAGTTTGTGTGGTTGCAAAAATGAAAGTAAATTAAACCTATTTACATTTTTGTAACTAAACTGACATGCAAAATGTATGCAATACAGAAAAAAATGAACAAACCATCATGTTCTCTGGGAAGTCTGAATTTCCACAGGTAAACCCTAATAAAATTTGTTTTTTCTAGAATTAGTTAGTAGCTCTCATAAAAAAGTAAATACAAGCTATATATGTCATTAACAGACCATCTGGATGCCATTACAATTTTAAGATATTATTTAAAACTATATAATAATTAAAGATGGATTGTTAGTGTTGTTTGATTTTTTTGATCAGATATTGCCTGATTTAAATACATTTTTGGAACTTTAGCAATAAATACCCTGAATCATTAATGATTTACCTTCAAGTTTCTGGCCTCTCCATCTTCTCTAAGTAGAAATGCTGTTGGTCCATAAGATTTAAGAAGAAATATAGTTGTACCAAGGGCTTGTTCTGGTGGACACTCACTGCATCACTGACTGTTTTCATCCAGGCAGTTTTCTTTCAAGGTTCAAGGATTTTATTGTCAATTCACCATAACATTTAGGAACAAAATAGAATAAAGTAGAATAACAATAGAATAGAATAAGAACTGGATTGACATAATTAAATGGACTGTATTTATATAGCACATTTTTTCCACAGTGTGTTGCATTGGCCAAAGCACTTTACAGGAGATCATACACCATTCACACACCAATGACGACAGGCTGCCACACAACAGCGCTAGTCAAGCCACTGGGAGCAATTCGGGGTTCACTGTCTTGCTCAGGAACACTTAGGCATGCGGGGAGACCAGGAGTCGAACCACCAACTTGCTGGTCAGGAGATGATTTTACAACCCTGGAAAGTAATTAAGGAACAATCTTTTGTTATCTAAACGGTACAGCCAATAAGCTGTCTCAGCAGATATCCCGACAAAAAAAAAACAGTCAGCAGCAGATTTACGTATAATATAACAGAAGGTCAAACAGCAGAGGTAGTTTTTTGTTTTGTTTCCAGAACAGTCAGCAGCAGATTTACCTGTGATATAACAAAAAGGGGGAACGTATTGAGTTTGTGCAACAGCAGGGGTAGTCTTTTTATGTTCTGTGGTGGGTTACGGTCCAGGGGCAGAGGAGGGGAGGTAATGGACAGTGTTCAGCATCCTCACAGCCTGGTGGATGAAGCTGTTTGTAAGTCTGGTGGAGTGGGTCTGAAGACTCCAGTACCTTCTCCCTGATGGCAGGAGTCTGAAATGGGAGTGTGAGGGGTGGGAGGTGTCTACCCTTTAATAATGAAAATGAGAGTACAGTGTCATCAGCAATGCTGATGGCTTTGTGGGTGAGGCGGGTGTTGAAGATGTCCATAAGGGAAGGCAGAGGGGCACCGATGATCTTGCTGGTTGTTTTCACTATGCATTGCAGAGTTCTTCTGCAGAAGGTAGTACAGCCTCCGTACCACACAGTGATGCAGCCAGTGATGACGCTCTCAATGGTGCCCTGGTAGAAAGAGTGCATGATGGGGGGTGGGGCACTGGCTCTCCTCAGTTTGTGGAGGAAGTGTTTGAGCCTTCGTGGCCAGTGATGTGGTGGTGTTGGTCCAGGAGAGGTCCTCAGAGATGTGCACCCCCAGGAACTTGGTGCTGCTCACTCTGTCCACTACAGCACCGTCAATGGTCACTGGTGGATGCTTTAGAGGTTTTCTCCTGAAGTCCACAACGATCTCTTTAGTCTTCCGAACATCCTGTCCCTGCAGAGTAAAGACACTGATCAATCATCTACCCTTTAATAATGAAAATGAGAGTACAGGATATCTAAAACTACCAAGATGTTTATTACACCTGGACCAGTGCAACTGCAGAAGAGTGAAGGGTGTTTTTTTTGTGCACTTTGAGTTTTTGTTTGCTACTGTAAATGTACAGTAGTCTACTGTGCAAAGGTTTTGGACACTTGAGTTGTTAAGATTCTTATTCATCATACAGTATCATCAGGGAAGAACCTGCTACTGTAGGTCCCAAATTCATTCTGCTGCATGACAACTAGCCCAAACATCCAGATAACTAATTATAAAGAACAATCAACACAAGAAGGACAATGCGTACTGCAAAAAATGGAGTCATAAATATAGCTACCTGGTATTCGGTTTTGTGGCTAACATTAGGTAAACATGAGAGGGTTATGCTAGTTAATGTTACTTAAGTTGATACTTTACTCTCAACGATGTGCAAAACAAATGTAACAGGGAACAATTCTGCACCTGGAAATACCCAAGAGTTTCATATTTGTTTCATTTTTTTCACCCCACTATCACATAACCATAGGTTATCCAATTTTAATACTACAGCGAACAGACAGCTAACGGGCTAGCTTATCATTAATTAGACTACAGCCCCGACACATGTTCACTACTTCTGGTTCATTCTACCATCCAAACCCGTCTTTTGTGATCTCAATTGTCAGAAAAAACAAAATTTTTTCTGTATAATAAACTACTCGTTGAGAGGCACATAAACCAAAATTACCTGTTTATTTGCATTAAATTACTAAAAAGAAAAGAGAAAGAAAAAAAACATCTGCAACACTGGAGTTTGTTTGCAGAAACGCCATAGCCATGGTAACCTGCCTGAGCTGCAGAGGGCGCCGTTGCTAAGGAATACAAACTCTCTTGATGATTGGTCTGTTTTGCAGTACCAGATTCACATCTGTCATGTAGTGAGAAGGGATCCATTCATCCATCCATTATCTATTATCAGCTGCTTCTGGGCAAGAGGCGGGGTCCACCCTGGACAGGTCGCCAGTCTATCACACCCCTGACACGTACACAAACAACCATACACACTCCTATGAGCAGTTTAGTCAACAATCAACCTAAGCTACATGTCTTTGGACTGTGGGAGGAAGTCAGAGTACCTGGAAAGAACCCACGCAGGCACAAGGAGAACTTGAACGCCTAACCTTCTTGCTGTGAGGTGACAGCTTTAACCACCGCATTGCTGTGCCACCCATAACAAGGGATTTTAGTTTTTTAGTAAATTTTAGTGTATTTCTAACACTTTCATCAAACAGACCTGCCTACTCGGTTGGCGACTGAAATTGTTGACACAATAGGATTATTAGTGGAATGTTTTGTTTTGGATTTTTTTCTTTATTTTTGCATTCTGTGAATAAACATCCTCCATTGTTAGCAATATTTATGACCATAACAACCGCAATAAATAAAGCCATTCTGAAAGCTTGAGAAAATTGCCACCATAATTCTGTCTTTTGTTAGAGTGATTTTACTTGTATTAACTATTAGTGGATCTCCTGGCTTGTTATTTACAGAACTCAGACCCTAAAGATCAACTTTCATGACAGTTTCATACTTTGTGCTACAGGCACAACCTGGTCAGTGTCTAGTATCACTTAATAAACTGCATTTTAGAACATGTAATACCCATCTATGGCTTTCTGTCACTGTTTAAAAATCTGTTCTGACACTTACTGATAAATAGCCTACCAATACATGTTGTAATTCACCTCATAAGTTTGCACACACATAAGAATTATTATGGAAACCTATAGATAAAGAAGCAAGCACACAACTTTTACTCTGTCCGACAAAGGAAGGACAATAATGTGCTTATGATTTGCAAAATTCAGACCACAAAGATAAACAGTCAAGACATTAAAGTTTACAAACTATTGTGCATTACATAATATTATTAATAAGAGTTAATGGTTATCACTTATCTTTAAACTTTGCAATGTACATTACACTGTAGGGATGTCCCAGTAGAGGCGAGCATGTGATGTCATCCACAGCCCCAGTCCGTTTTTTTCAAGACAACTCAGTGTTGCCTCAGACACTGATGTGAAACACACATACCAAAGGACTACTCGTCAAGAAACCACAAAAGTGCTACTTTGTTTTTCTGTTCCTGTAAAGGTAAACTTTCCAGCTGAAGGATTACTCTTTGAGAAGTGGCACACATCGGTTTATTATCTTTCTGCCCCTGCAGAGGTAAGTTTCTTTACTTGCTACTCTTTTTCGGCATGTACACTGTGACTACTCAAACACTGTGATTACAGTGCTGGAATCAGTTTAAATGATGGTACTGATTTGGTACATCAGGCCATATGTTGCAAGGCACATAGAAAACAAAGGTGTACACATGCACATAACCACAGGTTAAGATATATTTTATAATATTTTATAAATCAAGGGGATAGTTGAGCTGGCAATAAACAACAACAACAACAAAACAATTTATTTTCCAATAAATTTAAGAGTTTTATTCTTCCTTTAAGCACTCAATAGCCTCTTTAAATGGGTCTCACTTTGAAACACAGTTATATTTAGATGTAAAGTAAGGAGTATTTATTGAGCACAGTAAATATGCTCATCACCATATAGTTTGGTCAGACTTAACAACAAAAACATGCTCACGTGGCCACCGTCTTTGGGTGTGTTCAAGAAGGCACTTATCTTCTAAACTGACAAAGATTTCCTGAATTAGCAGTTGGGGAACTGGAACATCACCTTTCTGCTCTGTATTACTGTGTTATAAACAGTGTTTTTATCATTCTATATGAACACTTTTTGTTTTTATGATGTAGAGATAGATTGGAATTAAAGCACTGTAGGTACATTCAAATTTTCAACTAATGACAGACTGTTTGCCACTTTTGTATTCCATCGTTTTTGACATTATTTTATCATTAGCCAAACAGTTTTTATCACAAGCATCTTCTACAATATTCAGCTCTCAGAGGATCATGTATCATTGTGCAGTTAAATTTTTGCACAAGAAGCAGATAAGGTCTCACTTAGGCTACTGTTCTTAAGAAATCAAATATGTTAACTGCAAATATTAAATTTATTCACAAATTGCTAAACAACCAGCCTACTAAGGTGCTCATTGACTTGACAAAACCTCATGGGTTTTTGAATCAGTGATGTGGGCACATCTAGAGCTGTCTCCACATTAAATCTAGAGTCCCCATTAAGTTACGGTGGTTAGTTTTTTATGTTTTGTCTTTTTGTCATTAGAGTACCATGTCATAAAATCTGTTTGTTATTATTTAGTCTTAGTCTGCTCATTATTGGTCATTATTTACATGACCTAACACTGGTTTGTATTGTTCATAGTGAATACTCTCCAGGATGCCTCAGTTAAAGTATTTAGCTTTTTATTTATCGATTGTATTGTCTTGTGTGCCCTTTTATAAATCCAGACAGATGTTTCTCTGTTTGCAAGATCAACAATACCTGATCCACAGAACTTAAAATGGAGAGTATTGGTTGAACAGTTTGACCTTTGCATAGTTTTGTATGTTTCCGTCTTGAGTTGTGCGCATCTATGTAAACGTTTACAGTATATAGGGTTAGGTGCAGCAAAGTAGCAGATCCATGATTGTATCTTTTACAGAAACATTAAACAAGATTGTTTCTTTATTTAAACACACATTTAATCTTAGGAACCTAGAATCCAAATATTTGTCATGTTAAAAATATAAAACCTCCCATATGTTATTTAATCAGTATCATAATATACTGCTATTGTTGTGTCACTGTTATAATGCACAATATTCATGCACAATATATACAATAGCAAAGGTATTGCAGTTCAATATTAAACTTTAATAAGAGAGGCGGGTGAGGTCATGTATCATTACTGAGCACTCATTTGACCCCAGAATAACCATTTTATATTCCATGCAGCCACTAAACAGCAGAGGGTCAGGAAATCTTGTCTCTGATAAGACAATTGTTGACAGACGGCTGTGTCTCATCAACTCTTAATGATTTTACCTCCATATAGAACTGTCACAGTTTCCATTACTGTTGCTGCTGTGGCTGGCACACCTCATCTAGCAAAGCAAGACACAATCTCTCCTGTGGTTGGAGAAAAAGTGAACATGAGCTATGAAAAAAAAAGAGTTCTGACATACTGTATGTGCTTTATGGCAAACGTGTTTGTATTAATTGATATAATGGCTTAAAGGTCAAAGTGTCTATTTGTAATATGCACAGTTAGTGTTTCCCTGTACAATGAAAATGTGCATGTGCATACAAAGTATTCAGTTTGCTAATGAAAGCATCTTAATACTGTATCCAAAGGCTTTTGCCACACACATTCACAGTGTTACCTACAGTATTTGCCACACCGACATCTTTAGACTAAACCTTGGTTAAACTTGCTCAACTTGCCAAGTAAGCATGCAGGAAGGAAGCTGTGGGGGAATAGAGGAAGCAAAAGGGCAAATCTGTAATCCAAAATGGAGAGACTTGCCATTTCACATTAAAAACATAAGTTTGGAGACACAGATTTACTGTCAATTTTATTTTTGTGGCTTATTAGGGTAAAAGATAAAGAACAAATCACATAACTTCCAGTGAAACACAAATGAGAAGGAACATACTTACTGGACTTTGGTGTATGGTTTCATATACTGCATGAGTCAAAAAGGATTGATATTTCATGTGTTTTCTTTATCCAAGTGTCTATTGTTTTTCTGTGCAGACACCAATAACAAAGCCTTAATGTGTTTTCCTTCTCTCAGTTAAAAAACTATTATTAACTTTCCCCAGAATATCCACGAAGATCAGAGTACAGATGGATGTAAACTGCATCATGTTTCTTCTGGTCCTGTGCTCCCTCAGTAAGGTAGCTGGCTGAATCTTCCAAAGCGGTTCTTAAAAATATTTTTTAGTGTTGCATTTAAAGTTAAACTTGCATTTCTGCACTTCCCATTATGTAAGTTAAATACTCACTGAACCTCACATACTGTATTAATGCCACTTATGTAGTATTCCCTAACATTTAGCATTTGCTGTGTTAGAGAAGAAACTACTTCCAGTGACTTTTAAAATGACTGAAATAGATTCAAATTTTGTATAAAATATTATGTGCATCAACTTAAATTGTAGTTTGTTAGACCTTGTTTCACAGCTGAAGTCAAAATTTTATGTATGATTGTGTATTTTTTGTGTGTTTGTATGCTGTATTTTAATACTCATTAGCTGCTGGTTGATGCAAGCCCTGAAGATGAGAACAAGGAACATCTGTATCATCAAGTCGCCACAGCCCAGTACGAATGTTTTCAGAAGATCATGAAAGATTCGCACCTCAAGACGAAAACTATAGGTAGCAAGCAAAACAAAAAGAATAGGATGTTACTAAGTCAGAAAGAGTTTGATGCCAAACCTCTCACACTATACTGTTTCCAACACACTACTGTGTGTGTCCATTTTCTTGCTGCTAGCAGGACCAGTGTGCAACAGGACGTGGGATGGATGGCTGTGCTGGGATGAAACTGAAGCTGGCCTCACAACAGAACAGCGCTGTCCAGACTACTTTAAAGATTTTGACCCCTACGGTGAATTTGTCATTTCAGTAACAAGCAGTTCACCTTTACTAACCTTATTAACCATATTTTTAGATGCTGACTTACTTAAAGCTTAATAACTTCTGCTGCATTTGCGGTGATGACCTCTAAGTGCAATTTTTGTGTTTTTAAACCTAAGTTTATGGTATGCAGATAATTTTTTAAACAAAACATTAATTCATTACTTATAAACATGAAAGTGATATTTATATTTTAATCTAACTCTAAGACTATAAATGTTCCCCTAATCTCCCAGTGCTACTTGTTCAAACAGAAATTCAGCAAAAAACAGACTATTAACATATAAAACAAAAAACTAACAAACAAAAAAAAAACAGGGATTTATGTCATTTCAGCATGTTTCAATTTTATTTCCACTAATTTAAAATTTGTTAACAGCGGTGGCATCTAAAGTCTGCACAGAGACGGGCGATTGGGGTCGTCACCCGTTGAGCAACAGGACATGGACGAACTTCACAAACTGCCAAGCCAACACTACACACCATGGGACTGTGAGAAGGAAGACAATTATAAAACAAAGCAACACAATGGAAACTATATAGCTGCTTTGTTGTCTGTAGTGCAGCAATGATAAATGTAAAGTTCTATTTATTGTTTATTGCAGGCAGCCATGACTCGCTTCTACCTGGTTATGATTGGTCATGGACTGTCGCTGGTGTCCCTGATCATATCATTAGGAATATTCTTCCATTTTAAGTAAGTGTGGAGCAGACTTACAGTATTTATTTCCCTTTGTAATCTCTAAATGTCCCCAGATCTTGGGTTTTTATTAGCCATAAATGAACAGGATCTGGCTACATTATTTAACTCAATAACAATTTAACTTAATATGTGCAGGTGCCAACTGGGTAAAGTTATTTAATATTATTTTGTAATGCTAGGTTTGCACGGTAGTAAAAAGTCCATGTCTCTTATTAGCTGAAAGAAGGCATGAAGACTTTCTGATGAACAGAAGAGAACATGTTAAATAACTAAAGGTCTGCTGCTTTCTTTTCAAGGTATTCAAGAAAGTCAGATTGACATTTTTTTAAATAACTCCATACATGATGAGTTTTTAAGAAAAAAAATCTCTATGCCTTTTGATGACTTGTATTACAACTTCAGACTAGTAGACGTTTTGCTGGAAAGTGACTCCCATTACAAGGGCCATGAGTAAGCATAAATATCAGTAATCAGGGCTGCTGCAGTTATAAAATATTAATATAGGGTTCTGCAACTACAGTGATCCATAAAGCCTGAAGTTAAAATAGCTAATAACGTTTCAATTTATTTCAATTTATAAAAATGACAAACAAAAACTGAAAAGCTGTCAGAATGTGTGTTAAATGTGTCTCTCATCCTCCACTGCCCTCAGGAGTCTGAGCTGCCAGAGGATAACACTCCACAAAAACCTTTTTCTCTCATTTGTGCTGAATTCGATCATCACCGTTGTTTGGCTTACAACAGTGGTACAGAAACAGGGACACATGTATAATGATTCTGTAAGTGATTCAAAGTTTTTCATTTTCATTTTTGATCAAGATAATGTGTGGGCTCATCTTAGTTTTCTTTGTAGGCGAGCTGCAAGCTGCTGATGTTTCTCCACCTGTATCTGTTGAGCTGTAACTACTTCTGGATGCTTTGTGAGGGAATCTACCTGCACACCCTGATTGTTGTGGCTGTGTTTGCAGAAAAGCAACATCTCATGTGGTATTACCTGCTGGGTTGGGGTAGGTAAATATTGATTTAAATCATCACGTGCACATTTTTCTCACATCCACATGCCTTAAATGTTCTAATGTGAATTGCAGGTTTTCCACTCGTGCCAGCAGTGATACATTCAATAGCACACCACTGCTATCACAATGACAGGTGAGTCTTCTTGATCATCACATCCACACATATCAAGTCACATACTGCATTTCCATTAAATGATGCTCTGACCAATGCTTTCACAGATGCTGGGTCAGCATAAATACTTCCCTGCTGTACATTATCCATGGTCCCATCTGTGCTGCATTGGTGGTAAGCTCTGAACTCCAGATGGGCTTTGTACTGCAGACATACAACCACAATGGACCATGGTCTGTTGTTGTGTCTGTGGGGAATAAAAAAAAAACACACACACCGGTCAGCCATAACATTCTGACCACTGGCAGGGGAAGGGGATAACA